AATAATGATAAAAGTTTATACTATACTTATTTGACATACCATTAGTGGAACCTCTAACCTTGACATTTGTTATTATCATTATTTAATCCTTACATTAATATTCCATCTCAAAGTTCTTATCATCTTCTTCTTCTTCTTTTTCTTTTCTTTATTATTATTATTATTATTATTGTTATTATTATTACAATTGTTATTGTTATTATTATTATTACTATTATTGTTGTTGTTGTTGCTGTTGTTATTGTTGTTGTATTATTATTATTTATAATTTGTACAATTAACCTCCTTGTGGTTCGACCCCGGTCTTGCCGGGTTATTTATTACTTCGACACTCCTGCACTTGGGAGAAGACATCAATCTTTTAGTCGTGTCATGAAACCTTGTGTTTTATTATTTTGTTTTGCTACTTTTTATATTTGTTTAAGTGTGTTTCAGGTTTGTCAGTGTTCGTTGTTTTAGGTGATATCTTCTATACTCTATCTTTCTACCTTAGGACATTGAGGATAATGTTTCGTTTTGGTTGGGGGGAAGGGGTAGTAGTTGATATTTACAAAAAAAAAATTACGAGCTGTGTTTTCTATTTGCAAAATCATTTTTACTAGGATGGCAGAGTCAAGGAGTTCTTTTATTAAAGTTACTCTTAAGATGCATTCTAGTAAACATTCTTAACAAGGTCTATTATAATACTTCTTGAAATATTCAGGTTTATAAATTCTCGCATTATTATCTATTGCTTCTGCTCATATATTTATTTAACAAGTATTTTTAAATCTTTATTTTCATACACACACTTTAATATATGATTATGGGTTGCATATTAGATTATTACATTATTTATATTATTTTGTTAAAGGTAACAACTAAAGGAAAGGGATAGTATATAATTTGCAATAATAATAATAATAATAAATGTAATAAAATAAATAAATAAAAACGTAGATAAGTTTGGTTTCGTAGCTTCCCTAACCTAAACAATTAAGCCTGAAGGGGTGTTTTAACATCTAATATCCTAAAGTCAACTAACTTGGGAGCTATTGACTCAATGCTTGTTACATAGGTCGAGGAGAAAAGCTTAAAGGAATCAAATATTGCACTATCTACGTATGAGACCTTGTTATTAAGCTTGAAGGAGTGTCTCAACACCTAATGCCCTAAGAACAACTGGTCTGAGAGTCATTAGCTGAAAGCTCATTATATGGGTTAAAAATGCTTTGTGTTTTAAGTTATATATATATATATATATATAAGATAATAATCCCAACCCAAGAAAGTTAACCTTATATATTAGAACAGAATATTATTTTCTTCTAATAAAAGCTCCATCATCTATGTTTTTATACATTGAGCACATAAAAAAAAGGAAGAAGGTTTATTAATATCTTGTTTCAACAATATGAAGCAGATATATATAAATTTAATGAGAGTTTATTTATTTGGATAGAGTAATAGAAATTAAATGATGAATGTCTTACTTTAGAGAACTTGCAAATTGTTTTTCTATTTTAACACTTTGATTACTAGGGACTAGTAATAAGCTGGTTAGGGGGTGTGATTAGTACTTAAAAGTACATTTTTATCAAGGTTTTATGTCATCATTTTGCACTTGAAGTATCAATAACTCCTTAACTAGAGCATGTTTTATAATAACAAGTCTGATAATATAAGATACCTTTAATTTATGATAAATACTTATTTTAAATACAGGTATTCTCACAATTCAAAGGATTGATTATTATGATTAACTATTGGAAGTGAAAGAACAGAGAAAAGGCTAAACTTACGAAGGAGATGTCGATTCACTTTAAATTCGAACATTGTTCAGTCATTGGATCATATCTAAAGCTATAGATCTTAGATTTCACATTAATTTATATGAATGGAAAGATAATAAATAGGCTTACAACATTCATGGGTGTGGAAAGACCTAAATTTTCCATTTTCAAATTCAAAGTTTGGCCACAAAAGAGAAGTTTGAATTTGTCCTGCAATCCAGCCCAAATACTACTCAGAGTTTTATCCATAACTAGAGTTTTAGAAGTCCAAATGATTTGATATTTTGTAGGTGGAAGGAAAAGATAATTTACAACAACTTTTATGAAGAACACTGCCAAATTCTGATTGTGGTCTTTGACCGACATCGTTATTATAAGAGGAAGTTGATTTATGGTCAACATAAGTTAGCATCATGAATACTTAATAAAATTTATAAGTATGGTGTTACGTAAATAAGATGATTAATATGATCATGTTGATAATTTATAAAGAGTTTATACTTTACTTATCTCTAATATTATGAGTGTATCCTCTAACCTTGACATTTGTTTTTATCATTGTATAATCTTTACATTAATCTGACATCTCAAAGTCCTCTTTAACTCATCTTTACCACCACCACCATTATCATTGTTGTTGTTGTTGTTGTTTTTATGATTATTATTATTATTATTATTATTTATAACTTATATAGTTAACTTTTCTATGGTTCGACCCCAGTATTGCTAGATTATTTATTACTTTGACACTCCTGCACTTGGGATAAGACATCAACTCTTTGATCGTGTCATTACATATTATAATGAAACCTTTTTTTTTTTTGTATTTTTCCACCTAGATAGGTCACCTATTATATGAGACCACTTCTATAAAAAAAAAAGAAGCAACTCTCTATATTTTCACCATTGCTTGGAACAATGAGACCATTTGCAAGTTTCCTTACATTTTATTATTAGGCAGGTCGCCTGAAAAAATCAGACCATTTGCAAAATCCTTCGCAATTCTTCTTCCTATTGGGCAGGTCGTCTAGAACAATTAGACCACTCATGAAACCATTTTCGTGTTTTATTCTTCATGGGGCAGGTTACTTGGAAAAGTGAGACCACTCACGAAATCCTTCGCATTGCTTCTTCCTATCAGGCAGGTCGTGACATGACTAAAATATTGATGTCTTCCCCCAAGTGTTGGAGTGTCGAAGTAATAAATAGCTCAGCAAGACTAGGGTCAAACCACATGGAGGTTAACTACATAAATTATAAATAACAACAACAACAACAACAATAAATAATGTTAATAATAAAAAATTATGAGGACTTTGAGATTTAAGATTAATGTGAAGATTAAATAATAATAAAAAATATCAAGGTTAGAGGATCCACTAATGGTATTTCAAACAAGTATAGTATAAACGCTTTATATTACTCAACTTGAAACCACAAATAAAGAAGGTTCCAATCAGATTATAAATTGTTAACATAATTATATTAGTTATCTTTTTTGAATAATGCTAATACTATAAATCTTGTCAGGTATTCATAATTATAACTTATGTTAACAACAATTCAAGTTCTTTTCATAGCACAAATGTCGGTTTTATCATATGGTTGAGCTATGAAAGTGTCAAGTATTTGTTGTACCAAATGTTATACAACATAAATCTAGATTAACCATTTAACAAGTGATTAGTATTTAAAAGTGTATTTTTATCAAGGTTTTATATCGTCATTTTGCACTTGAATCATCATTAGCTCCTTAACTAGAGCATGTTTTATAATAACAAGTCTGATAATATAAGATACCTTTAATTTATGGTAAATGCTTATTTTAAATGCAGGTATATCTTATAATTTAAAGGTTGATTGTTGTGAATAATTATTGAAAGTGAAAGGACAAAGAAAATACTAAGTTTAAAAAGGAAATGTTGATTCAATTCAAATTCAAACATTGTTCAGTCATTAGATCATATCTAAAGCTATAGATCTTGGGTTTTAGTTTGGTTTATATGGATGGAAAAATAAGAAATAGGCCTTCAACTTTCATGAATAAGGAAAGACCTAAATCTGCGGTTTTCAAATTCAAAGTTTAGCTATAAAAGAGAAGTCAGAATTTGTCCTGCAATCCAGCCCAAACACTACTCAGAATATTACCTATAGTAGGAGTTGTAAAAGGCCAGATAATGTGAAATTTGGTGGGTGGAAGGAAAAGATAGGAAAGGCGTCGAAAATTTTGTTACTTCACTTTTAATTACCCTTTTCCTGTAGCAAGGGTATATGAGAAGCTCGCGCACACTTGCAAAGAAAAATATAGTAATCGGGTTATTGGTTTGAACTAGTAACCAGGTCGGTTTAGCTAGTTTGAACCAGTAACCTTGCTGGTTTGACTGGGTCTAGCTTAGCCTACATGGCTAGGCTAGATCCAACCCAAAATGAAAAAAAAGCTTGGGCTGGGTTTGGGCTTTAAGCCCAGCTTGTTCAAATTATGTTTGCTAAGGTTATGCCTAATAAAACACATTCTTATACCTTGACCATAATTTTTATACTCATTCTAATTTTATATTTGACCAAACAAATTCCTTTTTGATAACAGAAAATTCAAAACATATTCAGGGACATTTGTTGATTTATTTGTGAGCTTTTCGCACTTTTTTTTTGTGTTTGTATTTTTTTATAGATGTGCTAAATCTGTGGACTACTACTATTAAATGCAAATATGCCGTGCAATGTTTTTTTTTACTTCCATTTAAAAAGGGCAAATAATAATAAAGGATAAATAAGAAAAAAATGACATAGAAAATTTCTTATTCAAATTCCTTTTTTGTGAAAATATTCACTAACGCTAGAGTTGGGAGTATCGTATTTTTTTGGATTTGTGTGATATTTATCAACACTAGAGTTAAAAATATTCGTAGGAATTATTCTCTGACGCTAGAGTCAGGAACATGAAAGGAAGAATAAAAAAAATAAAGGAAAATGAGAACAAATTCTTAACAATTTTAGACAAAACCAGTAATGTAGTCTACCTTAGGTATGACGCTTAAGGGATGATAGCATCTTTTTTTTTATGTAACCAATTTCGTACTATAGAATCTTTATTGACCAGTTAGGATCCTAATGGCCATAATACTAGGTGACAACTCCTTGAACAAAACCTTTCCCCTAAAAGAACAAGATGTTAAATATTTGTTTTTTTTTTTCCAATCAAGATATAATTTTTTAAATGGTCGCCACTATATCTAGGTGTAACATTATTCATTTAAAAGAACTTTTAAATAGAGGAGATTTCCTCTTATTTATAGTTTTGCCACTAGTTTATTATGTCTTGTATTATTTATGCACTTTACTTGGTTTTTATATCTAAAATCTAAAATCTTCCTGAACTTCAACTGAACTGATTTGAAATAAAAGTAGGCAAACATGCTAGAAGACTACACATAAAATTTCAATCTGATATAATTATTAGATTAAAAGTTATGAGCAATAACATAAAATTAGTCAATTTATAAATTTCAATAAAAAATATGATTTTCTTCATTACATCCTTACATAAGTCATTTATAGATCTTTGAAATGATTTTTTTATTCCCAAGATATTTTTATATATCTTTTCATTATTTATTTTATTTACAAACTTGTTTCACGGTAACATAACTGATTTTTAATTGGTGCTTACACCATCATTTTTTTTATTTTATTTTGTACAATACTTTCTTATCCTTTATTTTTCACTATCATATTAATTTCTTAATATTATTTTTTTATTTTTTTATTCATCAAAACCCGTTATCGGTTTTGTTGTTATTATAAATTTTAAATTAAAATTTATAATTCCTGTAGGTACCCATCTATAAATCATGGAGACTATTCTTTTCATTTCAAATCATATTTTTTAATATTTATATCATTTATTATTTTTCTTTTCATCCCAAATTTATATTGCTTGTCGGGTTATTTTTACCTAGATTTTTATATTTACATGTTGGTTTACACAATTATCTAGTTAATTATTAGAATGGTGAGATTCGATCAAGACCTGACTTTAGACATTGGGCTATTGGTGAATTCACAATATCAACAAATTAATGAGTAAATTAATATGGATAAGTATATTGATTATAATATTGAATCATAGGTGTGTTTATAGCCGATTAATAATGAGTTGTAGCTCAATTCTTTTTAGTATCCTTTCTCCTTTCAATATCTCGAATTAAAATCTCTCTTATGTAACCAAATATTAGTGGTGGTGGTGGGAGATTATACGGAGAGGGAGAGGGAGAGGGAATGGATTTAAATCCCATAAGCAACATGAGTTATTTTCAAAATAAAAAAATAAAATCTCTGATATAAAACTGCATATATAATATCCAAGGTTAATAAAACTATTTTAGCTAATAAAAACAAAACAAGGTTCAAATCCTACTCTAAACAATTTCTTTTGTACTCTTTGATGCAATCACGTATGATCATATTGATTGGTTCAATTCTCTAAATTGTCTACCTTCAAACCCAGTCCAACACAAGCCCAGCCCAGGGTCAATGGGTTTTAGATTCAACTTATCCAGCAAAGCTAGGGTTCATAGCTATAGTAATAACATAAAGAACACAAAGAACAGTTAATTATAATTTATTTCCCATAATTTATCAAAAGTAATTAATTAGTTCCTCTATTATAAAAAATAATTAAAGTTTTTTTTCACTAGCATTGACCATCTTCAATTACTTTTCAGAAATGCCTTATTTTCTAATTAAAATTTGTTGTCTTACCTCCTTTTCTTTCCCTTTTAGTATTTGTCAAAAAATAATAATAAAATAATATATATAACGAAAAAAATCAAGTTATTATTTTTTATTTGACGGTAAGAGTATCAATCAAGATTAAATTTCTCTTATAACGATTTTAAGAGCACAATCCCCTCTCCCGATATCAACTTGATGTACTCAAATGAATTTAATAAATTCATTTGGATTCTAACTCCAAGATTTATATAAAAAAATAAAAATAAAGAAGGGAACAAACTAACTTCTTGAGGTTACCAAGTTATTAATGGATTGAAAACTTTAGAAATTACATTTATAATTGTTGTATTATGAAAATTAATTAATTAGTTTTATAAAGTATGATAGGTATTAAGTTATAATTAATTCTTAAAAAATCAAGGAAGAATTAGTACTGGATTAAGTGAAAACTGAACCACATGAGGCTACTACTGTTATACATGCATGTATATATCTGTGTGTGTATATAATGATTTTAAACTATATTAGTTATAATAAGGAGGGCTGGTGGTGGTCCATCAAGTACACTGCTTATTTGCCTTGCATATCAAGCAACCTCGTAATTCCTCTCTCTCCCCCCCCCCCCCCCCCCCTCTCTCTCTCCCTGTGTGCAGCATTCATGGGAAAGAATCATGATCGTAATAAGCACTCTAGCCCAAAACCCATGTGAGCAGACCTTCCTTTTTCCCTGTATTTCTCTTTCTCCATGATATGTACTCTCTCTAGACAAAATTTGCTCTTTTTTTTTTTCCCGTAGAAGAAGAAGAAAAAGTTTGATCCTTTATGCCAAATTTGAACAAAAATTAAGTATATATGACCATGCAAAAACCTTGTTTATGAGGTAGCTGGCACTTACATATTCCTTTCTCTCTATCTTGATCAATTGTGGATAAATATCTGCACCCCCCTTTAGAGCCACAAAGATACAAACTAGTCGAATTATATACTAGTAGAAAACAATTTTAAAGATTAAAACAAGATACTTATACACTAGGTTTTTATTAAAGTAATAATATACTATATATATGCTTTTCCATAGTTAAATTAATGAATTAATATAGCATATAAATCCAGATGCATGGTGTAGGTGTTTTTTTTTTTTTTTACACGTGAAAGATTGAGTTTCCACTGTTATGATCTTAAAAATACTCCCTTTTCATGAGTCTACAAATTCAGAATAATTTCATACTTTTTCTCATACTTATCTCAAAATATTAACTCAAATTTTTTTAAAAATAATACAAATTGCCTTAAGCCCTTGACCTTTCGGCTACCTAATTCAATTTCTTGATATTATGATTATTGTTTATTATATAGATGTATGTTTTTTTAATGGGTGGCTTAAATAACAGCTATGAAATCCGTTTCTTGCCTTTTGCTTTTGTAGTCAAGCCCTCAAAACAAAAGGTGTATGAGAGAGAAGGTTCTTAAGCTTTAGAAAATCCAACTCTGTGTGTGTGTGTGTGTGTTTTTTTTTTTTTTTTTTTCTTTCTTTCTATCTCGTATAAACTGCTTACAGCAGCTTACTTAAATTAACAAAGGCTCTTAAAGGTGAGTACCTAGCTACTTTTCCTTTATCTCACTGGCTTCAGTTAAAGTGGCAACTAGAGAGAGCGATTTCTGGTGATTTCCATGGTTAAAGCAGCAGGTTTATAGCTAAATCCCACGGCCACAGTTTCCTCTTTTAATTTCCTTCTCTCTTCTATCCTCTCTTACCTCAACTAGTTTTCTTTTCCTTTATTTAACGAAGATATTTTATATCTATAATTCTGTTTTGCGAATATTAATTTCTCATCTGGGTACGAAGTCCTTCTTCTTCTTCTTCTTCTTCTTCTTCTTTTCTTTGTGTTGAAAGTATTATATTTGTTGAGTTAATTTAATTGTTCTTCGTTCAATCAATATCTAGCATTACTATAGTTTTCTTTTTGATCTTATCATATTTCATCCATATATTTTGGTTTTCAAGACCATATTAATTATGATCATCTAGCTAGGAGTGTATGTACATATCAATTATGTACTGTTTTTCCTCTTTTCCCTCTTGCTAGTTTACATTTCAACAGATCTCAAACTCATGATTTGTGCTGTATAGATATATAGCTAGCCGCGGGGATATGAGTAGCAAGCTGTTGTTCCGAGCTGATAAATTGAAGAAAGATTTTAGGAGTTATACGTTTGGGAGAAGGAAGATATAATATAGCATCAGCTGTGTGATCGAAAACGAGCCATGACTACTAAGAGTAATATGGCTTCCATCAGCAGCTCTAATCTTATCGATGCAAAGCTTGAAGAGCATCAGTTGTGTGGATCCAAGCAGTGCCCTGGGTGTGGACACAAGCTGGAAGGAAAGCCGGTAATATGGATAATCTCCTGATATTCATTCCTTCGAAACAGATTTTTTTTTTCCCATCTTCCCTTTTCTTTTTGGGCATAAATAAATTAATTCTTTGGGAAAAATTGTTCGTTTTAGATTTTTAAGTTGAGCTTTTGTTTTAACTTTGATTTGAGTGGAGTTAATTTGCAGGATTGGTTAGGTCTACCAGCAGGAGTGAAATTTGATCCAACAGACCAAGAGCTTATAGAACACCTTGAAGCGAAGGTAGAGGCCAAAGACATGAGGTCTCACCCTCTGATAGATGAGTTTATCCCTACAATCGAAGGGGAAGATGGGATTTGTTATACCCATCCTGAGAAACTTCCAGGTCAAGATTTTCAAAACAATTATCACCTATCTCTCTCCATTGTTTGTTCAAAGTTGTTAGGTTTTGACATTTTATATAATATATTCTTAAATTAAAATTAAAAATAATTTAAAACCTAGTAACATATATATATATATATATATATATATATATAGGCAGGCTTTGCTACAAGCGTTAAATATATCCTTCTCTTGTTAATTTGTTAAGACTTTGGAAGAATTGTACTATGGCGTCGCAGTTTGTTGCACCTAAGCGAACCTAACTTTGATTTCCCCGTAATCTTTCCATGCAGGAGTCACAAGAGATGGGCTAAGCAGGCATTTCTTCCACAGACCTTCAAAAGCTTACACAACTGGAACAAGAAAGAGAAGAAAAATTCAAACCGAATGTGACTTGCAAGGTGGAGAAACTAGGTGGCACAAAACAGGCAAGACAAGGCCAGTCATGGTGAATGGGAAACAAAAAGGGTGCAAGAAAATCCTAGTCCTCTACACCAATTTTGGCAAAAATCGAAGACCCGAAAAGACTAATTGGGTCATGCATCAGTACCACCTTGGTCAGCTTGAAGAAGAGAAAGAAGGAGAGCTTGTGGTTTCTAAGATATTCTATCAGACACAGCCAAGGCAATGCAATTACACTGATAGAAGTGCAACCATTGGTGAAGGAAGCAGCGAACCTAGCAGCAGAAGAGACAGTGGTAGTGGGAGTTGTTCTTCTAAAGAAATAATTCCTCAAAGAGACGAAATCTCAGGAACTGGGCCAGTTGCTGTGTCAATATCAAGTTGCACTGCCTTGGATATTCATCAATTGAAATCTGATCATTTTGGCTTTACTCCATTCAGGAAGAGTTTCGATGAGGTATAATATGTGTTTTTCATTCACGCGCGCGCACGCGCGCGCACACACACATCTTCTACACATTCTTTCGTATATGTATGCATCAACAAAGCATTTACAGACAATATTGCATGTACTGCACACACGCGCGCTCACACACATATATACATAGAAAGACACTGTATTCTAAATAGTAAAAATTGAGATGAATGCAACGCCCTTCTTGTTTCTAGCATCTTTCTAATATTCATGTATCACGCAAGATATATAAATGAAAGTAAAGAAAGAGAAATAAACCAAAAAAATTAAAAAATAAAATAAAACTCTAGCTAGAGTTACTTTTCTCTTTGACCATTGCTTGCAAATTCAGCATGAAAATCTCTTTGAACCTCACTTGATTATCTTCGTCAGCTAACTAAACCACCGAAGAGACCGAGTCGTGAGTTTCAGTGCACATTAATGAAAACGAAACCGATATTAAAATTAAAACTGATAGAGTGAGCAAAGGCATGTAGAGGGAAAAAAAGTGAAGTAGGAACCGAAGGTAAAAAAAAATAGATCTTCACTAGAAGATGTCTGAAAATGGACTAACTATCAAACTTCTTATTGGGGTTGCGTCCTTTTCAGGTGGGGATAAGAGAGGCTTCAGTAGCAAGGGAAGCCTCGGCGTCAGGCACATGCGATGAGATTCAGGAGCAGCATCAGAGGCCACATCATGTGGCCCATGATCCCCATCAACAACAGCAGCTGCAGCAGCAGCACCACCACCAGACGGTGCATCACCAGATTGCGACGGCGGCCTTCCACATCAGCAGGCCTTCCCATCCGATCTCCACCATCATCTCTCCACCTCCCCTCCACCACACCTCCATCATTCTTGATGAGGACCCATATAATGTATCCAGACTAATGCTTCAAAACGAAATCCAGGTATTTAAGCTGATCAACCTAATTATTAACTACATGTCCTCAACTTTCTTTCAAATTTAACGACAACTAAATTGAATCACATTCTAATTAATATGACTTCCCAATTTTATTTATTTTTTCCCAACAGTACCAAACTTCTCCGCACTGGAACATGAAATTTTAATGCACGTCAGTTCACATAAAGTTGTCACCACAAGGTTCAGGACACTGTTCGTCAAATTAAAATACTTATCTCTCGGGCAAAACGAGAAAAAAAAGAAAAAGAAAACGAAATAAACCATGCATAGATGGAGTTTGACATGGTGCGGGAAGGTCAGGGAAGGAAGTTGATAGCCATGGTGATATATATCGGAGCCAGCAACGGCATCTTGACTCTCTTTCTACCTCCCCCTCCTCTCTCTATCTCTCTCTCTCTCCGCCCAAGAATTAATGCACTGCTAGTTGCATTTTATGTTCTGTGTTTTTCTTTTGTTCCTTTTTAATTTTAGGAGGAATTCGGGGATCGAAAGTAAAAGTTCCCTGAATAAATTTTCACCCTCAAATGAAGAAAGGGGTGTTGGCTATTTTGTTGTATATTGGGAAATTACGTAGTAACTTTTAGTGCCTACTCAGTTGGTGCCATAAACTGTCTTCTTACTTTACAAAACTCTCTGAGGACATGATGTTTAATAATGATTTTTTCTTCTTTTTTTTCTTGATATATTGTGGATAAATGAATGCAGCAACAGCAGCACCAACAGCAGCAGCAGCAGCAGCATCATAAACTTGGAGGGAGGTCTGCATCTGGTTTGGAGGAACTCATAATGGGTTGCACTTCAACTGATGTAAAAGAAGTGAGTATGAACTTTTTGACCCTGAAATCCATTTGCCATAAATTCCAGCAAGGAAAAGAATAAAGAAAAGGTGAAAAAGCTTATATATTTAAAATAAAAAAGAAAAGCAATTTGATTTAAAACCATTTTCGTTATTACTGGCTGAGAATCTGAGATTACAGTTATTTTTAAACTAAAGATATGGAATCAGAAACCTTTTCTTTTTCTCTTTTCTTCTTTTTCCTTTCATGCTTCTGAGGTTTTAATATGATGCATGCATTAATAGCCTAGGAAGAACCTTTTTGTTAATTACTTCACTAGGAAGGTTTCATTATATTTGTTGAAGATTTCAATATTACAGTGTAAATTGAAATTAAAAACATTAACTTAATCACAAACTTACTAACAGTTGCTTAATTCCTTGCAACAGGCAAGGGCTGCACCTTTCCTTCTCCTCTCAAATGAGGATGAATGATAAACATTTTTTTCCTAGTTTGGGTGTTATATATCAGTTTGCTAAGGAAAAAGAAAAAGAAAAGAAATGTAGCCCAAAATTAAAGCAGAACACAATTCGAATCAAAATCCCTCAGACCATTTTAATTTGTCTAAAAACTAAGATTTTGAAACGCCTTCTTTTGTCAATTTACAAATTCTTGTAATCGCTACAAATAATATAATTTTGTTTTCAAACCTCATCGTTTATGTTTTGTTTTTTCCTTGAGATAGTTTCTTATCAAGCTATCATAAATTCAAAATCTATCATCCTTATTTTTCTAATTAAGTTAGAAAAATTAGGTGTGTTACAAACAGATTCTTGATGTTTAGCCCAGTAACATAAGTTTCTGGGTTTTTAAATAGATTATTCAACACTATTATATATCTATCTAATTTGTTTTAATAAAATAAAATATGCCAGAGAGAGAAATTAAAAACAAAAATTGAATAACAAGAGGAAAGATTCGATGTTTCCAACAAAATATTTTTATATAAGAAAGGTTGATGATAGCGACATCAAAGCTTTTTATCATGCGTGTCCTCTCGATATAATACAGTATCAGACAATCTTATCGTGGAGGAGATTGAAAGGACAAAGGAGGCAGCTTCATTTGTTTTGTTTTTAAGTGAAAATTTTCTGTTCAAACCAGAGCCCTAGTTATTTCTCACAAGCTTGCGTTTTATTGCAGGAGTCATCCATTACAAACCCACAAGAGGCAGAGTGGTTGAAGTACTCTTCCTACTGGCCAGACCCTGACAACCAGGATCATCATGGGTAGGACCAGAGAATAAACAAAACCCCCACAGACACTATCATTATCGTTGCCATCATCATGATTGCTTGAAGCTACCCTTATGTTCTTTTCTATAAGAGGACCAAGAGATCATCTTATGTGGTCGCTCTTTTACTTTATTATTACATGCCTATAGGTTGGTCTAGTGGCTCTCAACTGAACTAACTGTTCAACAGTCCATGTTGGAAAGAAAGAAAAGAAGAAGAAAACAAAGAAAGAAAGAAAAAGGAAACCAAGAAAGGCTGCTCTCTACTGACAATATAGAAGGAGAAACAAAGACCCAAAGCAAAATCTTCGTACATGAAAATCATCACCATCATGATTACGCTATCATCCTTTACGTGCCGGTACTTATTATTTTATTTTTTAACACCTTCTGCCTAAGTTCTTTTATTGTTATTACAACAGAACTATATACATATAGCGAATAGGTTGTGCAAATTGCAGGAAAAACTATGTTAATTTATTCTGCTTATTTCATCTTAAAGTAAAGGTATTACTCTCTTCTCAGCAATGAAAAATGTGTTTATGATTTGTTTATATTCACTAATAAAAAATTAAAAATATTTTATCAGCATTAAGAACAACATTTCATTGATGCATGAATTGTTGATAGAATTATTAACTAAAACATTTTATTAGCATGTTTCGAGATTTATCTTTCATTAGCAATTCAAATACCAACGAAAATGATAACAGGATATCTACATTAAAAAAATAAGTTTTTATTGGTCATTTTATTGTTGGCATCTTCAATGCCATCGAATTATCCATTGCATATTTTATTGAAAATGCCTAAACTTTTTGTAGATTTCCAACAAAATTTATGCAAATATTTCCAATGAAATGGCCAACGGAATTCCATGTTCATTGATGATTCCATTAACGTTTCACTATTTTTTTATTGTTTAGTTTAAATAAATGCAAATGTATTTTATCTCACCCTAAACTCACAACAACAACAAAAATCACATTCATAGCATAAATGTATCTCTGTAACAAAAAGAATTTTAATAAAAATTTCACCATTCATCTAAATATTATACACATAAATATTCTATATAAGACATAAATTTCAACAAAGATGGAGGTTAAAGGGGAGGAAACAATCCTACAAATGTAAAGTCATATATGCATGTTATTTCTCTCGATATATCCTATTTTCTTGTTTTAACCACGCTTTTATTTCTTCCTATAAATTGGGCAACTAAATAGATAGTTCTTTCTCACCCTTTTTTTGGACTAACTCATCAACGTCCGATGATGTTTGGTTTGGGTTGAAACATGATGTTCCTATAATTAAAATAATACAACCTACAATTATTTCTAAGCTCAATGTTGTAGGCATAGCATAAACTCGATTTTTACTAAGTCTGTCAGTTGTACCAGCCTTTAACCATAATTAAGGGTCATGTGAATGTCAATTGTACCAGCCTCTAACCATAATTAAGGATCATGTGAAGGGTGGGTTGAAGTGATCTTACTAAATTTCACAATCAAATAAGTATTATATGTATTCTATAAAATCCTAAATTCATATTAATTATACAAATAAACATTAGTAAGGAAATAATAACTATTAAGAAAACTTACAGCGAACACTTTCATTCTTTTATCGATAAAAGTTTTCTCCCTTCCCCCCTTTCCCTATTCTTTATATGAGTTTCCTCATGTAACTTCACTAAAGTCAGTTTGCACCTATTATGGAAGGTATATGTATAGGAAATATTATAGGACTACTTTAGTGTTATAATCTCTACCTTTACTATTATATATTAACCTACATATATAAATATGAATGATTGGCTAATTAATATGAATGATTGGCTAACTAATATGTTAAACCTCCTCTTTTTTTTCAACCTTGGTATTAAAGCTTTAATACATTAAAACTCCTCTCACCTTCTCTTTAGTGAACTTTACTGTTGTTACTACTGCTAACTTCTCCCTCCACCAATTCAATGTTGCAGCCAAACTAGCCGGCCATTTACAGGTTGTTGTCGATGGCCCCTGACACAACCAAAAAATTAATGTCTTCTCTCAAGTGTAGGAGTGTCGAAGTAATAAATAACCCTGTAAGACCGGGGTTGAACCATAGGGAGGTTAATTATATAAATTATAGATAACAATAATACAACAACAATAATAAAAACAACAATAGTAACAATAACAACAACAATAACAACAACAACAACAACAACAATAGTAGTAGTAGTAGTAGTAGTAGTAGTAGTACTAGAAGAAGAAGAAAAAGTTGATCAGAACTTTGAGATGAAAGATTAACGTAAGGATTAAACAATGACAACAACAAATGTCAAGGTTAGAGGATCCACTAATGGTATGTCAAACAAGTATAGTATAAACTCTTATTATTCAATTAGAAACTACACACAAAAGAGATTCCAATCAGATTATAAATTATTAACATGATTACATTAGTTATCTTATTTGATTAATGTTAATACTTGTAAATCTCGTCAGGCATTCATGATTATAACTTATGTTAACAACAAATCAAGTTTCTTTCATAGCTCAAATGTCAGTTATACCAGATAATATAGGTTATGAAAGTGGCAAGCATTTATTGTATCAAGTGTTATACAACATGAATCTAGATTAGTCATTTAGCAATTAAAGTATTAAAAAATGAATAAGATAACAAATATAAAACATGTTAGTATCAAATATTAAATTTCATGTTAAGTTTACACTATACTTATTCTTACATCATTAGTATAACCTTTTCACCTTGACATAATAAACTTAACTAAACATAATGAAATAAAAAAAAAAGATAAACAAAATAAGAACATAAATAAGATAAAAGTTAACTAAGTATAGGAAAAGAATTGAAAGGCATAAACAAGATATTAATAAAAATAAAACTTAAACATTATAAAAATACAAACAAAGAAAGCAAGAGCATGATCTTGATTTGGAGACCAAGATGCCTAAATACATGGCAAATGCCTCCTTTTATAGGTCAAAATTGGGAACTATTGATTTGATAACTAATTGATGAGTTGCTAGCCAACTCTTGACTTTGTGACAATTCTTATCTTCTCTTATCTACCTAAAATGTCATTGATAAAGTTAAAATTAGTACTACTTGAAAATAAAAGTTGTAGGAAATTGTCTCAGCTTTTCAGAAAAAAAAAAAACAATGGAGGTCATTTGGACTTCTAGAACTTCAAATATGGGTCAAATACTAAACAATGTTCGGGCTGCAGGACAGATTCAGACTTCTTCATTGTTGTTACAATTTGGACTTGAAAATGACCTTTTTAAATTTTAGGCTCCATATAAAAGTTATAGGCCTATATCTTACCTTTCAATCCATACAAAGTAGACCTAAATCCGAGATCTACAGCTCTAGATATGACCCAATTACCAAAAAGTATTCCGATTTGGACTGCACCAACATCTTTTTTCTAAGTTTGGCCATCTCTTTATCCTTTTAATTTCAGTTCTTAAACTCATCAATCAATCCTTTTATTTATGTGATAAACCTGCTTTTAAAATGAATATTTACCATAAATTAAAGGTATCTTATATTATTAAATATATTATTATAAAACATGCTTTAGTGAAGGAGTTATTGATAAAGTGCAAAATGATGATATAAAATCTTGATAAAAATGCACTTTTAAGTATTAATCACACCCTCCAACCAGCTTATTACTAGTCTCTAGTAATCAAAGCATTAAAATAGAAAAAAATTATAAATTTCACAAAGCAAGGTATTTACCATTCAACTTTCATTAATGTATCTAGATAAACAAACTCTCATTAAATTTATATATCTACTTAATACCTCTTAAACAAGATATTAATAAACATTCCTTATATGCTCAACATATCAACACATAGTTATGGGGCTTTACTTGGATGAAAACAAAATTCTTGTTCTAATGTTTAAGGTTAACTTTGTTGGTTGAGATTTTTTTTCTTTTTTTTTTATTTTTTTAAATATATAGACATGTAACTTAAAACACAATGCATCTTTAACCCATGTAACAAGCTTTTGTCTAATGACTCCTAGACTAGTTAGTCTTAAGACATTAGGTGTTGAGACAACCTTACGAGCTTAGTAACTTGGGTTGTCGATACTGATACGTAGATAGTGTAATGTTTGATTCCCTTGAGCTTTTCTTCTCAACCCATGTAACAAGTGTTAGGCCAATAGCTCTCAATTCAATTGACTTTAGGGTATTAGGTGTCAAAACACCCCTTCGGGCTTAATTACTTAGGTTAGGGAGGCTATGAAACCAAACTTATCTATATTTTTATCATCATCATTTTATTTTCTTTTATTTTTATTTTTTTTCAAATTATATATTATCTTTTTCCCTTAGTTGTTACCTTTAACAAAAAAAATATAAATAATATAATAATCCAATGTGCAACCCACAATCAAATGTTAAAGTGCGTGTGTGAAAATTAAGGTCTAATAATACATGTTAAATGAGTATATGAGCAGAATTAAATGATAATAATGTGAGAGTTTGTAAACCTGAATATTTCAAGAAGTATTATGATAGACCTTGTTAAGAACGGTTACTAAGATGCGTCTCAAGAGTCACTTTATAAAAGAGCTCCTTTACTTTGTCATCTTAGTAACAATAATTTTGCACATGCTTTATGAAATAGAAAACATAGTTAGTTAATTTTTTTGTCAACTACTACCCTCTCTCCCTAACTAAAATGAAACATTGTCCTCAATGTTTTAAGGTAGAAAGATAGAGTACAGAAGACATCACTTGAAATAACGAGCATTGACAAACCTGAAACACACTTAAACAAATATAAGAAATAACAAAACACAAATATTATGCTATTAATAAAACTAAAAGACACAAAGATTCATAAATGAAGACTCAAATCTAATCTAAGCTTTTTACAGTTTTTCTTAGATGACCAATTTATGCGACTCATGGAAGGATCAATTACTGGAATGAAAGATTGTAATTAGTCAATCAATTGTTCAACAGTAGTAACAGAGATTATAATTTATCATGCAGAAAATGTTAAAAATTCCTGTTTTACATCATGATTAAAAAATGATAACAACTTATCATAATAACCATTAACATTTAACAGACCTATGGGTTTATGATGAGTATGCAGTTGAGCCCAAGAGGAAATATGAAAGATCTCTTCCAATATGTCTAGACCACCTAGTAAGGCAATGAAGGTATTAACATGGTTAAACATTGTATTCATTCGAGCAGACATTGTAGAGACCTATAGTTCCTCTCCAATTGTTTTTTTAATGATGTCCCCTTGTGCTAAAGCTTCGAGAACGACCCCCAAAACTTGACTACCTCCTAAAAATACAACTATTGGCATACCTTCCATTAACCCAAGACTGTCTCCCCTATACACTAAATGAATTTTTCTCTCAGTTAGCACCTGACCAAGATGATTTGTTGATTCTAAAAATTCTTTTTCTTTTCCAGGACTAGATCCACCAAAAACATAAATATTTCTTATGTGATAACCTGAGTAACTTGTCATTTCTACACACTTCTATA